TCGTAGCCTGGGTCTGAGGCAGCAGGATTTCCTGTGTGACTGGCTGGCACAACCCTGCAGGTTACAGGGTCTGCACCCGCGATTCCTGGCCCAGATCCCGGGTCCAGCCCTGAGAACCCGGGAGCAAGCCACAGCCCAGCATCCAGGTGTTGTTTGATCTCTGCTCTTGGGGATCAGCTTTAGAGGGAGGTTGGCCCTCTGCAGGCTCTTAAGGTTGGGACCTGCGTCTGCCCGAGGGGCGGCGCCTTCATCATCCACAGGCATGTGGTTAGTGGGAAATGAGTGGGAAAGAGAAAATAAGCCAAGCCGCTGCCGTTAATTTCCTCTAGTGTGTCGTGACCTGACTATATTTTCTTCAAGTAACTGCTTGGTTTACTGAAAATTTCATTGAAATAAATTCCTACAAGATGAAATTTAAAGGAATTCATATTTTAGGACTCCGGACACTGATACGAAAGTATTCCCAGAACATCTGAACCCTCCACATTTCCAGAGTCAGGGATTATCGCCGCTGTTTCCTATCTTGGTTAATTTAATAGGCAAATACCTTGTCAAGAGGTCCACATTTTTCTGTTAACAACTTAACATAATTTCTTTTCCTTACCTGGGTGTTCAGTTTTTGCTTATTAATTGTAAGGTCCTTTAACATAATTAAAATAAAATAAATAAAAATCTAGGAGATGCAGTATCTTGCATAACAGGAAGCACGATATTCAGAGTCAGGCAGACTCTTGCTTTACCATTGGTTAAGCTCGCTTTCATCTTTTGATGTTGTTTGGGTTTTTTGTTTTGTTTTGGGAGACAGGGTCTCCCTGTACCTCTTACATAAACCAGGCTGGCCTCCATCTCACAGAGATCCACCTGCCTCTTCCTCCTGAGTGCTGGGATTAAAGGCATGTGCCACTATGCACATCTGAAATCCCTATTCTGAATGCAGTTGCATAATGCACCGTTCTAAATGAGTCCAGAGCCCTTCCTCTTCCTGTCCTGTGATCATTCTGGCCCCACTCTGACTGATCTTTGTAATAGATTCCTCTCTCACCTGCCCTCTGTCTGCCAGGATTACTTCATGATTGAGGGCTACTAATGGCACCTCTTCCTGTTTTCCATCACTGCTGCGGAATTTTAAAATATTTAGATTCTATATTTTCTTTATGTGTGTCTGTGCCGCATGCAGCGCCTACCAAAGCCAGGAAAGGGCATCCGATCCCTGGGAGCTGGGGTTGCAGCTCCTTGTGAGCCACCAGTTGTGAGAGCTGGGACCCCAACTCTGGTCCTTGGGAAGAGCAGCAAGTGCTCTTAGCCATTGAGCCATCTCTCCTGTGCCTGCATTATTCTTAGAAAAAAAAATTTTAGATTTGTGTGCGTGTGTGTGTGTGTGTGTGTCCGCGTGTCCATGTGTCCATGCCACAGCACAGAGCACAATTTGAAGGAGTCACTTCTCTCTTTCTACCATGTGGATCCCAAGGTTGGAACTCAAGTTGTCCAGCTTGGCCACAGGCACCTTTATGCACTGATCCATCTTCCCAACCCCAGTATTATTCTTTTTCACAATATTTTTCCTGCTAAGCTTAAAGGATTTGGAAATAAGAAGAAAGAGGCAGAGGCGCTCAGTTTGCCAGTAGGATTAAATCCCTGGAAATAGCCACAAATTACAGTTTAATATTCTACTTTTGAAAAGGTAAAAACGGAGGTGGGTTTCCATGTCTGCTTTGTGTTTCACTTTTTAGGGTGCGCTAGGGATGCAGCTAGGAGAACACTTAACTACGGTGCAGGAGGCCCTGGGTCCAACCCCCAGCACTTCCAGAAAACAAATTAAAAATAAAATTTAGGATGACTGAACTGTTTGCCCGCACTACCATTTTCACAACAATTTGCCAGGAATGCCGCCTGGAAGTCTTCTGCCTACTATAACTGACTTCTGTTTCTCGCACAGTGTGGAAATGGTTGGTTTTGTGAATTTCACACGGGTATGGAAGAAGCACAGGTCCATTCTGAAGAAAGAAATGGATTCATGAAAGCAAGCAGTGACGTCGTCTTCACCAATCGCCTTTTCACACACTCCTTGGATTTATGTTTTGCCTGTTTGTACCACAGCTCTGTGAATGGTGTTTCAGAGTTTCTCAGTGTTCCCAGGTCTCCATGTCCTTGCATTTGGCGGCCCCTTTCCCATAAGCACAGGCAGTAGATGGCTCAGTGGCAGTGCAGGCGCCTGGGGCAACCCAGCTCAATGTGGCCACAGAGCACTTGCTACAACCATAAGTCAGCAAGAAGGAAGTCCGGATTTGTTCTCAACTCTGCTCCTCCAAGCCCCACAGTCTGGCATGAGGGTTACTCCTTGTGTCTTAGCATCGGGTCCTCCACACTTACATGACCATTTGATAATGACCGTCTTGCAGTACTTTGTGAAATCAAACCAGCTACTGCATATGAAACCCTCGGAGCAAAGGCGGGCGCACAGGAAACAAAGAATAACAACTATTTTTTAACGTGCACCTTAGGCTGATAGCCGGCTGGGGTTCAGCATGCTCTTGTCCATCCCCCTCAGCCTCTGTGGTTGCTGGGCATTGTCTCTGTTTTCTGTCCCATGAGTCTTTCAGGCAGACTTTGCTCTGCAGACATCTAAGCAACACTTGGGAACCAGAATGTCTACCTTCAGATGCCCATTTTGTGCAGAGGGCAGCTGTCCACACTCTGGGGGGTTCACCTCTGTCTCCTCATCCTGCCTCTTTCCATAGGATGCTCACTGTGACCAAGGCCTTGGAAGAGGCTCTTCTGCAGCACTTCATATACCAGAAACTGGACATCGCCTATGCCATCAACAAGCCGTTCCCTTTCTTTGAAGCCCTCAGAGACAACTACTTCATCACTGAGAGGATGTACAAGGTGAGGCTTGTACCCCCCTTCCAAGGCAGCAATGGAGTAAGGATGCTCCATTACTGAGCTCTCAAATCACAATCCACCAGGGCTTCTAGAATGTAGCAACCTCAGCTTGCCTCTGTTCATTATGGAAAATGGAGGGCTGGTTGGGTGGGAGAGAGGGTGTCATGGGCTATCTTAGTGATTGGGTATGATAAGGGCTGGCATAGCAAAATGACCACAAACCAGAAATCACAAATTTGGACTCTCCCAGTTCTGGAGGCCAAAAGACCAAAATCAAGGTGTTAACAAAGCTGATTCTTTCTAGAAGCTCTGAAAGAAATCCATTCCTTGCCCGTTTAGCTTCTGGTGACTGCCAGCAGCCTTGCTCTGTGACTGTTTTGCTCCAGTCTGATTGCCTTCTCTCTTGTGTCTCCCCTGTCCTCCTCTGGTAGGGACACTTGTTTTTAGGGCATCCTAATCCAGGACAATCTCAAGATCTTCAGTCATATCTGCAAAGCCCCTTTTCCAAGTGAATTCACACTCGGGTTCTGAATGATGGATCTGGTTTGCCTGAGGATGCCATTCAACCCATCACATGTATCAGCCAGTGTATGGAAGCATGTTGTCCCCAGTTCATCCTAACATGAGGCAGGCACTGGAGGATATGGCTATGTGGACAAACGTAACACACTGTGAAATATATATCTTTTCATATAATGTTGGCTCCTAGAAACTAGTCTTAAATTCTGGGTCCAGGAAAACTGCAGCAGGATCCCCCAGTCTCTGCCAGGTTAGCACCAGCTCCCTCTTCAGTGCTCAGTTCAGATTGCATTCCTCAGAGCAGTCTCTGTCACGCATTCATCTGACCAAACCCCATGTGTTCTCTCTCTCTCTCTCTCTCTCTCTCTCTCTCTCTCTCTCTCTCTCTTTCTCTCTCTTCCCCCCATACATACAATGCTCTGAATTGACAAGAAACTTGTTAACTACTTTTATCGTTGACCCTTCTCTGATGGCAAAGTCCTTTGAGTTTAAAGGCCTTTTTCATTTTTTTCATTTTTATTTTTTCACAGTGTGTTAGAAGTAAAACACAGGACTTCTTGCATGCTGGGCAGCATTGTAGCACTGAGCTATGCCTCTAACCCCCTTTTTTAATTGTTATATGGATTGGATTCAAAGACAGCTGTTAGTAAAATTATTAGAAAATATAAAGATTTAAGGTCTGTTACACGTAATTTATCTTCCAAAATTATGCTACTTGCCCTCACAAACCACCATTATAATGGAATTAATTATATTAACTATAGCAGGGACATATTATTGACATTGTCAAAATGGTATTATGGATTCTACTTAGAATAAAGAGGTCCTGTTTGATGTCAGTAGGAATTCCTCTATTTCTTTAAAGCCAGTCAGTAAGTTTTACATAATCAGAAAGCTAACAATGACAGATTTCATATTCCACATTCTATTTTTTTAAATTTTTTTATGAGTGTGAATGTTATGCCTGCATGAATATAAATGAACCCATGTCATGCAGTGCCTGTGGAGGCCAGAAGAGGGCGTCAGATCCCCTGGAACTGGAGTCATGGATGGATGTTAGCCACCAGGTAGGTGCTGGGATTCAAACCCAGGTCCTCTGCAAGAACAGTCAATGTTCTTAACCCCTGAGCCATCTCTCCAGCTCCCATCTTCTACATTTTCATAAGAAAAGAATAAGTACTGTTATTAAATAATTAAGAGTAAACGACTGTTCCCTTTCCCTCTCCATTCCCTGTTGCCTCGGCATTGCTGCCTGCCCACCACTGTTCTTACCTGTTGGAATCAGTTGCTCTCCTTCCCACCCTGGTCCCTGCTTGCTGCTTTTGAATCTGCGATTCATTTTCTTCCCATGCTCAGTGTCTTCCAGGGATCACCAGACAGAAGACAAACAAGACCCTCAGGAGATGTCCCATGCTCCCTCAGGCCCTGTGCCAGGTAATCTGCCTTTGGTCTTAGCTTTCCCCTTTCCTGGGCATTTACACAGCTTACTCTCCTCCCTCACAGCCAGTCCTGGTAACCCAAGATGTTCCTTCCTCCTCCAGTGACCAGAGACAACTTAACATCCACAGATACGAAGGAAGAAGGCTCAGCAGAGCTGCCTAGCCGAGTGCCTGGCACTGTGCACAGCCACACTGGTGAGCGCTGACTTCACCTCAGTCATCCTGACAGCCATGGCCTCAACTCACCTCTGCTGTCCTGTCTACTGAGACAAAAAGCCACTGGAATCTTCTTGACCTGGACTGTTGTTCCTCCTCTCATCCCACCTCAGCCCTGACTTTGATCCCAGGGACCCACATGGGTCAAAGGAGAGAACTTGTTTCCAGAGGTTGTCCTCTGACTTCCATGTGTGTACAGTGGCACTTGCATCCACACATACATAAAAAGCAATTAAGTGATGTAGTAATTTAAATGTAAAAGTAAATATAAAGAAGGTGAAAAGGGATTAAGGAAGACACCCAGTATCTGCTCTATATTCACACACACACACACACACACACACACACACACACACACACACAGAGGAACTTGGCCTTGGTCGTCATCTCTTTCAACAGTCTCCCTGGCTCTCTCCTTTTTATAAAATGAGATGCCTACATTCACTGTCTCTATTTCTCTCTCTTCTCTCTCCCTCTCCCTCAACCTTTCTTCCCTCTTTCCTCCCTCCCATCTCCCCCACCTCCCTCCATCCTCTAACCCTCCCTCCTGCCACCACTTTTGACTCCACGGAGCAGCAGCATCCTGACTACTGTGCTTTACAGACCAAAAGTCAAAGCTGAATATTGTTAACACATAAGATTGGCAAGTCTGTGCCAGGGAGATGGTAAAGGTGCTTGCTGCCTAGCCTGGAAACCTCAGTGCCATCCCTGGGACCCACATGATGGAAAGAGAGAACTCACTCCTATAAATTGTCCTCTGACCTCTACGCACACACATGCACATGCCACATATACACACATAATAAACTTTAAAAATGTAATTTGAAAAAGATGCATTTGGTCAACTCCAAAAAGGAGACGTCAGAAAAAGCACAGCCCACAAGGTAAGACCGGGGAGCAGAGGAGGCTGGGGCTGGAGGTGAGGTGGAGCTGGGCTGAATTTTGCTCTGAATGCAGTGGGAAGACACTGAGGAGCTCTGAGCGATGCTGTGATCTGGTTTTAAATGTCACCAGACCACGGAGCTGAGTGAAAGGGTGACTCCAGCCTGTGAGAATTCTCCTCCTCCAATGGCAGGTTCATAAGCGGGGTGGAGAGTGACAGCTCCGTCTTTACACAGGGGCAGCCATCCTTCTGAACTAAAGGGAGAATAGAAACAGTATTGCCACTTTGAGGTAGAGTGGAAGAGATCCCAGGTCCTCATCCAGTGGGGCGGTGTGTGGGTTTGGCTCCTGTTGAGCTCTGGAGAGCCGTCTTTGTGCCAGTGGACCATGGCCCTTCTGCAGGGACCAGCTTCCCACGTTCCAGCCAATGACAACTACTGTCTGCTCTCCCCAGTGAAGCCCACTGCCCTCCTGGCCCTGGCACTGCAGAGCCTCTGGCCTCACCACACCCTCCGTTGATAGACCTGGTAGCCAGCTTCATGGCTGGCCTTTGCCTGTCAATTCTTTGATTCTTTACACTTCCCACAGGAGAGAGGCCCCTGGGGACCTGTGGATGCTGCCAGTTCTGTACATAGGTGCTGAGTGTAAGACCTTCCTTTCTGCCTAAGCAATCACAGGCCTGGTCACTTCTGCTCTGACAGGGTCGACTCACAGTTTAGGGTCACACAAATAGGACTCAGGAAATAAGCCCCACTGCTCTTGGATTCCCCTGTGTTGCCTGGTTAATTTAACAAGACATACCTTGTCTTAGTTACTTTTCTGTTGCTGTGATAAATCACCATGACTAAGGGAATTTATAAAAGGAAGAGTTTGTTTAGCTTACAGTTCCAAAGGGGCAAGAGTCCACCATGGTGGGGAGGCGTGGTGGCAGAGGTGACTGGAGTAGGAGCAGAAGCTAAGCTCTCACATCTTCAAGCAGGCACAGGAAACAGAGAGTGACTTAAGATCTGGCAAGGCTTAAGAACTCTCTAAGCCTGTGCCTAGTGATGTGCTTCTTCCAGCATGTCCACACCTTCTAAGACCTCCCTAAACAGTGCCACCAACTGGGGACAAAATGTCCAAATACTCAGAGCCTATCAGGGACACTCATTCAAACCACCAACACACCTGGAGTGAGAAGGGATCGTGATTTAGGAAGAACCAGAACAGTGCACACAAGGAAAAGAAACAGAGAAAAGTGAGGTAGAGGGGTACAAGGATCTGAAGGGGAGGGGCAGGATGGGAAGGGAAGTCTATGAAGGGAGCAAGAACCAGTACACTGAGGACCCTCATTTAAATCATTCACAATCATTCTTGGCCCAGGGGCAGCCTCACCTCTGCTTGGAACCTAAGAAAAGCTCAAGGTGGTGTATTAGAGAACTCTAGATCAGAGGACTCCAAGGGAGGACGACTCTAACAGGTCCTTGAAGGTAGTGAGGAGCACTCAGAAGACAAGGATTGAATGTGCTCAGGTGTCTAGAACACAGGGTAGGGCTGAGGGTGGGACCTGCTGTGGGCTTGCCTCAGTGTGGGAGGCTCTCCTAGAGTGGCCACAGGGAGGGTAGACGTGTGAACTCCGCAGGGGGAGAGAAGCACAGAGAACAGGGCTGGGATGTGAGGAGAGGGCATGAGAGGGCAGAGATCAACCACAGCTGAGCCTTTGTTGAAGAAACAGATGTGTTCACAGCGACAGGTCTCCTTAGCTGAGGCCTGCGGTACTGGTTCTCAAGCTCGGCTCTCAGTTTACATCTTAAAGATTACTAAGAACTCCCCAAGATTTTTGTTTATGTTGCTCATGCCTATCGTATCTTATTCAAAATTAAAACTTATAATTTAAGAAATATTTTTATTGATTTATTTTTATTTTATGTGTATCAGTGTTTTACCCACATGTATGTAAATGCACCCATGCATACAATTCCCATGGAGGACAGAATAGGGCATTGGGTCCTTGGAACTGGATTTATGGGTGAGTGTTAGTTGCCATGTGGGTGCTGGGAACCCAACTTGCATCCTCTGCAAGAGCTGCCAGTGCTCTTAACCCCTGAGCCATCTACAGCCCCACCCCCAAATATTTATTTCAAATAAAATATTACTTGATCACATAACTTTTTGTAAAAATCTATTTCTGAAAAAAAAATCTATTTCTGAAGCCAGGTGTGGTGGTACACTCCTTTAGTCCTAGCACTCAGGAGGCAGAGGCATGTGGATCTCTGTGAGATTGAGGCTAGCCTGGTCTACACAATGAGTTCAGGCCATGTGGGGCTGCAAGGAGACCCTATCTCAAAAAGACCAAAACAATATATCTACACATCTATGTCTGTCTATCTATCTATCTATCTATCTATCTATCTATCTATCTATCTATCTATCTATCTATCATCATCTATCTATCTACCTACCTACTTACTGTGGCCACCAGGGCAGCCACCGGACCTGAATGAATTACCACTGAACTAAAAATAAACCAGGGACCCAGGCTTCCGTGCACCTGAGTGCTGACTGTACCAGCAGCTCAGCTTTTACTCTTGTACTCATGAGAACCATAGTCACATGTCTACAGAACACCGAATAACAATAATATGGCTAGAATATAACAATTCAGGAAAATGAGATGAGCACGGCAGCATTATCTCCATGCTATGCCTGCTTAGGAGGTCAACGTGTTTCATGAGAAACTAGAGGGGGACCCAGCATTCCAGAGGTATTTCCCCCAGCAAGCATGCTTGCATAAACTATCTCATGAGACACAAGGCTCTCCATACTTGCATGTTCCGGGTTCAGCTTCAGCTTAATTCACCAAGCTTTTTTTTTTTTTCTTTTTTTTGTCTTTTTGAAGCAAGGTCTCCTTGTAGCCCCATCTGTCCTAGAACTCACTATGTAGACCAGGCTGGCCTTGAACTCACAGAGATCCACCTGCCTCTGCCTCCCAAGTGCTGGGACTACAGGCGTGTGCCACCATGCCCGGCTCCAAGCATGTTTTTAAAGCCATTAGAACACTGTTTCATGGTCCCTTTATATACACATATATATTTCTGACACAAAAAATTAGAAACTTGATCCCATTTTGTATTCTTGCAGATCTTAATAATGTCATACTTCCTGAGGGAGCTGGATTCTTTTTTTTTAAGTTAAAAAATTATTGAGAATTTCATACATGCATATAAGGTGTTTTGATCAAATCCACACCCACTCCCTCCCCTCCAGCTCTTCCCATATGTCCCCATCACTTTTTTCCTGAACAACTTCATGTTCTCTTTTTCTTTTTTCTTTTTTTTTTTTTTTGATGGAGCTTTTTGCTTCTCTAACATTTCCCCCTCTGAAGAGGTAACCCTAAAATCTTTTAGGGATTAGATAAGAGCTCCTAAATACTTTTGATATTTTTGGCCTTGGGAACAGAGTGTGTTGCTTACGAGGCCCAAGGACTTTTTTTGATTTTAGCCAAGAAACTGGCTACTTTTCTTTGGGGCCTTTTTACCTTAACTGCCTAGCCAATTCCTATGAGGGAGCTGGATTCTTACAGTTGCTTCTGGACTCAGAGAGCTGTGAGAAGTTGCTTTGGTTGAACAACAGGAATAAAACCTAGCCTTACACTGCATGGACTTGAAAGTGGTGGAGTGTTCTACAGCCTTTTAGACTATCAGTGAGATTCATCTTTTTTTTTATTTTCGTACAAATGTCATAACTTTATTCTTGGTTATAGCTGAATAAAATTAATTGTGTACATGCACTACATGTTTTTGTTTGTTTGTTTAGACAAGGTCTTATTATGTAGCTCTGACTGGTCCTGTAACTTGCTGTGTAGAACAGACTGGCCTTGAGCTTACAGTGGTTCCCTGCCTCTGCCTGTGCTGGGGTCAAAGGTGTGCACCACCGTGTCTGTCACCATGTCTTCTTTACCCATTAATCTGTTCATAGCTATCAAGTCTGCTTCCATTTCCCAGTTATTATCAACAGGGCAGCAATAACCATGGGCATGCAAGTATTTCTATGGTACACTGATTTAGAATCCTTCAGGTACACTCAAAATGGTGTAACTGGATCATATGATAGTTTTCTTTGTAGTTTTTTTTTAACTTTTACAAAACCTTTATTGAGAATTTCATACATGAATATAAGGTGTTTTGATCAAGTCCATGCCCACTGCCTCCCTTGCAACACCTCCCATATCTCCCCATCACTTTTTTCTTTTTCTTTTCTGTGTCCTCTTTCTTTTTTTCTTTCTTTCTTTCTTTCTTTCTTTCTTTCTTTCTTTCTTTCTTTCTTCCTTCCTCCCTCCCTCCCTCCTTCCTTCCTCCCTTCCTTCCTTCCTTTCTTCCTCCCTTCCTTCCTTCTTTTTATTCTTCCTTTCTTTTTATGGGGCTTTTGGGTACTCTAACATTCCCCCCTCTGAAGAGGTAACCCTAAAATCTTTTAAGGTTAAAATCTTTTAAGCTCCCAGATATTTTTGACATTTTTGGCCTTTGGAACAGAGTATGTTGCTAACAATCCCAAGGACATTTTAACTTTTAGCCAAGAAACTGGCTACTTTCTTTGGCTAGCCTTTCCTACCTCCTATTCTTATCACACCATCCTCTGAAGGGGTTACCCAAATTGCCAATAGGGAACTGGGATGCAGACAGCTCTGGCTTCTTCCATGCTGAACAGGCACGCAGGGTGAGGCAATTGGAGTACCCCTTCAGCGGGTCTATCTAAAGACTCCCAAATTGCATAACTCTTATCTCAAGGAGAAAAAGAAAGTCTTTGAATAGTGAATAGGAGATGTGAAGGAGAAGTAAAGGCAAGAGTAATTAGCATTACAAGTTCTAGACAGGGAACTCGAAAAGTCAGAGCAGAGAAATTTTCAAATGTTAATATGAGAATCCATTGGCATTTCTTGACAAAGGCTTCCATTCTATTCTATTCATTCTAATCTATTCTTCTCCATTCCATTCCATTCTCCCCTCCCCTCCTCACCTTTCCTACCCTACCCTAGCCTAGTCTTTTCTATTCTACTGTCCAACAACACATATTTATTGAGTAGCACATCAAGTATGGTATGAATAATCTTTTTTCTTTTCTGTTTTTGCTTGTTTGTTGTTTTATTTTGTTTTGTTATTCTGTTTGCTGTTCTGTTTTCTCCTTGCAGCCCCAGCCAGCCTGGAACTGGTTTATGTAGACCAGGCTGGCCTCAAACTCACAGAGAGCTGCCTGCCTCTGCCTCTGAGTGCATGGGATTAAAGGTGTGTACCACCATGCCTGGCTTAAATAATTTTTTATATAGACTTAAGCTTAATGTCTGGGAAGTGTAATCCCTTGAACTCTTAAAGAAGTATACTGATGATTTTACTCTTTGGTTATACTTTCCTTTTGGGTGTTTAAGACCATACAGTTGGACCATACACTTAAGGCCATTTGAGGATCTGTTCCTCAGGGGTCACATGGGCTTGGGAGGAGCTCCTGGCTCCTTTCTTTTACCAGCTCCATCTATGTGAAGATAAGTCAAAGGTCCTGTTCGACCATGTCTGGCTTCACTCGGAAGCATGAATGAAAAGTTTCCTCTGAGTTGACCCTCCTCTTTGAAGACCGGACACTGGTTCAAGTCCATCTTGTGAGGTCTCCATGTCTTCCCTGAACAAATATAGGTGATTCACTATATTTAAAGGACATTTTGAGAGATGTTCCATAGTCCCCTGGAACTTGGTCAGCCTTGGAGGGCAAGGGGCAAAAACTGTCCTTTAAGTCCCTCTGACCACATTAGTATAGGCCTTAAAGTATGGCTGTTAAACATCCAATAAGGTTAATTCCACCAGTCTGATACATTTAATTATCATGTGCTATGTAAATAAGGCTTAGGTAAAGAACCAAATAGTCTCAGATAAACATTGACTAGATTTATATTTTGTTCCTTAAACTAGTTGGTTAAACTATGACCTTAGAAATTTTAAGATTATGTGTATACTATTTTTGTCTCATCCTTTATATATAACAAACCTAAACAGACCTTCATCACTTGCTTAGGCTTTCTCATTTTTTCTTTTCTGGAAAATATCTCCATTCTTATATCCTTTTAATATCTTTTACATTCTCATTTTCTTTTTTTAAAAAAATAATTATGAAACATAATAGCATTAACAAATAAATTTTCCACCAGTTGTGAAACATCTTTTCCTGGGGATGCTAAGCAATGCTTATTCCCTTTTAAGGTTCTAGTGTCAAGCCAATGTTTCATTAAAGTTTTGCTGGGGAACTAATGAATTTATTGAGCTTATGTACTGAGATAACGGAGGGGTTGCTGAGGTGTATGTATGACCTGAGTGTATGTACACTGGATAGCCTTTACCCAGCATGAGTCATGCCTTCTCTTCCTAGCCTTCCACAGACTGTATACTTTAGCCCTCTTATTTTGTGTATGAGTGTATTGCCTGCATGTACGTAAGTGCACCCATGTCATGCAATGCCCGTGGAGGACAGAAGAGGCTATCAAATCCCCTGGAACTGGAGTTATGGGCAGTTGTTCGCTGCCATGTGGGTGCTGAGATTCAAACTGGGGTCTTCTGCAGGAACAACCAGTGTTAACCGCTGAGTCATCTCTCCAGCCCCCAGGATTCATCTTTAATACTGGCTCAGCACCCGACTAGTGATAGTTTCTTAAAGATTTTATTTTATTTTATTTTAAATTATGAGCATGTGTGCCTGCATGTGTTTGCCTGCCTGCCTCTCTGTGTGTGCCTGTGTACGTGCATGCATGTGTGCAAGTGAGTGCAGGTGCTTGTAGAGGACAGGTGCTGGTAATCAAACTCAGGTCCTCTGCAAGAGCAGGATATCTCTCATCCACTGGTCCATTCCTCCAGCCCCAGAGTGGTAGTTTCTTCTTGGTTGACTGTAAGGTAGAATATGAACTCATCTCTGAGACTTTTATTCTCTGTCACGTTATTCCATCTTATGTTTGGAATGGATCTTCTCCTCATGTAAGATCTTCTAATGTCACAGACGTTGGAAAGTGTTGGGTCACTGAATTATACAGTGAGCAGCACCTCAGGCACACACGTATTCTTGGGACAACTGTGAAACTTTAAATGTGACAGAAGCATTTTATTTTTGGCCTTCACTTTTAAAAAAATATTTTATTTATTATTTTTATTTTATGTGTATGAGTGTATTGCCTGCATGTATGTGAGTGTACCCGTGTCGTCTCAGAAGAGGGTTTCGGATTCTCCTGGAACTGGAGTTAAGGACGGTTTGTAACTGCCATGTGGGTGCTGGGAATCGAACCCGGGTCCTCTGCAAGAGCAGTCAGTGTTCTTAACTGCTGAGCCATCTCTCCAGCCCTGGCCTTCACCTTTTTCAACAGAGAGCATTAAAGCTATATGTACTCGAGGGTAGAGATTTAATATTTTTCACTGAATTGTCAAATACATCTATCTGGGTTTTTAATTTATTTCTAACCTATCATCTTTTTGTGTGTTCATCTTCTTTATTTTGTATATTTTAATTTCAAAATAAAATAAACACATAAGCACAATGCACAACATCTAGCCCCGCTGTCAAATTAGGGAGAGGCTAGGGCTGATGATTCTTGTTTCCTGCCTGGGATACAGGATCTGGAGAGGGAAACAGAAACAAACATACAGCAAAAACAAAACCCAAGAAGCCCACACTCCCTTTACCTATTTCTTAGCGTACTCTTCTTCTTTGCCTCTCCCTACTAAAGATAATCAGCTTCTATATATTACATAGCATGTAATTGCCTTCATTTAGCTTTCGTTTTACTATCACGAGAGTATTTTTAAAGTTACAGACGTTAAAAAATTTTAAGGTAGCAGCGTGCCTTCTTTTTTCCTTTCACTGCTTGTGGCCTTGGCTTCAGCTAGGAAGATCTTTTACAATCAATAGTTTGTAATAACCTTCTACATTTTTTTCTGGTAAAAATATTGGTAAAAAAAACCTCATTTATTGAAAGATGGCCTATTTTAAATGTTAACTATTTAGGATTCCTCTGCTAATTTTTATTCAACTGTTTCATTTCCGGGTACATGAGTGTATGTTTTTAAAATGCAGGTTATATGATTTTCTTGCCTCCCTAAAGTGATAGAGAGCAGAAAGTTTTTACAGAACAATAACATGGAGGTGCCTGCAATCCCAGCAGTGTGGAGGCCGAGGCAAATTCCAGGTCAGTCTGGACTGCATAGTGAGGTTCTGTTTTAAAAATGTCTGCGACCTCTGGCTTGTAGATCAGTATTTGAGTCACAAAAGATGATATTTCTTTTTTATTTAAGTGCAACTGGTCAAGTTCAGAAGTAAGACAGAAGAAAAGTCCCCCAACAGGTAAACAGGAACAGTGAGCTGTTCCTTGTAGATCCACTAGTATCTGCCCTTGGCCAGCTTTGCAGAAGTTGGTCTCCTCTGCAGCCACAGGGACCCCTGATTCACACCGGGGCTCACCAGTTCCACTCCTGTCCCCTAGGCCACTCTTCACAAAAAGAAGGGAGAACCTGACACCACCATTCTGGGCCAAGCTAGCCTTCTTCTCTGTTATCAAAGGGAAGGAATGTGAGCTGAGGTAGCCATGGGGGGTATTCAACAGCTTTGAGATCAGGATCACATCCAAGCCAGGGCCAGAGCCAGAGAGAATAGATGAGGAGACTGAAATCCACAGCAGCATTCATATCCACAGTCCCATTTGGGATTAGGTTTGGAGCATTTGGAACCATCTCGATAAAATTTACTTAATGTGCGTGTGTGTTTGCAAGCTCCTTGCTCATTCTGCGTCCAGTGCTTCAGTTTGTGCTTAAATAACTCACGAATCATTATGCATTCTATTTCATCAAGTGTGAATGCCAATGGCAGGGCCTTTGCCCCTCTCCCCTGGAACATAAGCATAAATATAAACCTGAACGCCTTCTTATGGGTGGAATCTTGCTCAGTACAGGAGGACCTCATGCCTCAGAGAACCTGACACTGTCAGCAAGTTCAAAGCACCTTGGCCTCCATTTTGTCATTCAATCTTCATCATCAGATTCAATGAAAATGTAAAAGACTTCGATAAGCTAAAATCAGCCTAGGGGCTTCTGAAAGCTTTGCTCTTTACATTGAAAAAGTACATGAATGATCCCAGATGCCTCGTGCTGGTTCTGAGACACTTGGGGAAGCAGGAACCCAGGCCCATGCTGAGAGCTGTCCTTCAGCTCAGCCTCTACCCTCAGTGTAACTTCTGACTTGGCCCAGGGTGCTGTTAGGCCTGCTGAGGAATTTTTAAATATTTATGTGTACATATGTGTGAATGTATGCCACATGTGTTTGAGAGCCCACAGAAGCCAGAAAAGGCCGTCAGATCCCTTAGAGCTGGAGTTACAGGTGGTTATCAACTCCTGGATGTGGATGCCGGGATCTGAACTTGGGTCCTCTGGAAGAACAGGAGGTGTTCTTAATAGCTGAGCAATCTCTCCAGCTGCTTTACAAAAATAACATTTAAATTTATTCTTTGAGAATTTCATACATGTATACAATGTGTTTTGATCATACACCTACCATTAATCCTCCAGTTTTCCCCAGACATCCCCTCATGTCCCTCTCCCAATAGTGTGTCCTGCTCTTCTTTTAATATGCACATCAGAGTTCAGTTAGTGCTGCCCATGTGCACCCAGTGTGGGGTCATCCCTGCCAGTTACCACCCTCCCCCCCAATAAAAATGACCCTCCCTCAGCAACCATCAACGGTCCATAACTCCCTCCTGAGGCAACTTGGACTACGCAGAAAGAGCTCTAGAGAGGAGCCTGGAACATCTGCATCTCAGGGCGGCTCCTCTCACACAGTCACTGCCACTCACTCCTCTGAGCCTCCACCCCATCTGGGAAATGAGCAGGACCACTGCCAACTTCCTGTAAGGAGGAGTGGTTCGATGCGGCCACTCCTGCTGCTCCGTCTCTCCTCCAGCCACCCTTCCCCCTCCCTCCCCAGACTCCTGCTGCATGGATCTCCAGCTCTCAGATCTTCCCTGAGCCTGTCATCTTCTCAGGTATAATGTTCACGTTGAGCTTCCCGCTGTGTTCTGGAAGGATCTGGGGGTTGGTCTTCAGCTGGTTAATTAGGTTTTTTCCATCCCTCTGCTCCTCTTCCCTGCCAGGCTCCTCCTCATTTCCTCAAAGGATGTTCTGCATGTCATGAAATCACCCTGCTCTGTAATTGCTTTCTTAGAGGCTCCTGGTTGTTTGTTCACACTCGCTAATGAGGATCTAAACCAGCTGCTGCAGCTCCTTTAGAAATGGGGCTGGCTGATGCTGGGGAGCCCCAAGCAGGCATTCCCTCAGGTTTCATCCTTAAAGGCCTGTTGCTGAAATGGGAAAATGTGACTGAGCCAAACTCAGCACTGCCAGGAATTCACTAGAAAGCTGCCATTTGGGGCTTTGGAAGCCCTTGGACCTAAAAGCCCACTTCACTTGGAGTGCAAGGGTTACCTTCACCTGGCAAGGAGGAAGTGATGTTTGTGGCATTGTTACTGAAGACTAGGGGTCTTCATCAGGTTCCTTTGCTCTGCCAATTAAAGAATTAAAAGACAGGAAGACTCTCAGGCACAGCAGGCAACAAACTATTAAAACTGAATAAATAGGCTGGAGAGGTGGCTCAGTGGTTAAGAGCACTGACTGCTCTTCCAGAGAACCCAGGTTTGGCTCCCAGCCCACATGGTGGCTAAGAGACATCCTTAACTCCAGTTCCAGGAGATCTCATGCCCTCTTCTGGCCTTCTCAGGCAACAGGCATGCATGTGGTGCACTTACATACATGCAGACCATTAGGTTCCTGGCAGGCTCCTAAAATGGCAGCACAGCTCTCAACATCCTAAAATGGCAGGTTCGAACTTAGCCCCTGGAAAGTCCCTCTGCTTACTGGGAGACCAACTAATCCTGAGCTAAACTGCCCAGCCTACATCATAGAAAGTTACCCAACCACCTAACTGCCTATAAGAGATGTCTGGCTTCCCCTGCTTGCTGCTTGTTTCTCTGCTCCCTGAGAGGCAGCCCAGCGAGCTGTTTGCTCTCAAATAAACTGCTGTCCCCCATGGAGTTGTCTGGTTCGTGGTCTTCGCTGCTCCACTTCCACATACAGATAAAACACTCATATGCATAATTTTTTTAAGTGAAGAAAGAGAGAGGAGAGAGAGAGAGAGAGAGAGAGAGAGAGAGAGAGAGAGAGATCTTCCACAAGTGGAAAGGGGATTCAGAAACTGAAATCCAGGCCTCCTGGGAAGGTTTTGGTCTTTTAATTTTTTCTGGTGCCCCACCTATAATTTCTTTAAATTTTATTTATTTATTATTTTTATTGTTTGAGCCTATATAATGGGTTGTCTCATGGGGAAGAGAACACTTGAATAGGTTACACTTTTATTTTTATTTTTGTGTATGAGTATTTTGCCTGCATACATGTACATGCACCCATGTATGCAACGCCTGCAGAGGCTAGAAGAGGGTGTCGAATCTCTGGGAACTGGGGTTACTGATGGTTGCTAGCTGCTGTGTAGGTGCTGGGAACTGAGCCCAGGTAAGAGAAGCCAGTATTCCTATTCTCTTGCTGTCCTGCCCCCCTATAATTTTGGATTGGTCAACTTAAAGAAGAGAGGGCTGATAGGCCCATATGTCCAGGTCCATCCTTGAACTTGTCCAGTCAGCCATAAGAGGGGCCCTGCTGAGGAAGAAAAAACCTGCCAGGTCTTTGTCTTGGGTGAGGAGGAAGCCAGAAGTTGGCCACCTTTGTATCCTTGTTAGTTATCAGTGGCTCTTCCCCGTCTGTTTGCCCGTCAGGGATCTGCTAACTTCTAGTCTCACAGCATGACCCTGCTCGTTGATTTGCTCACCACTACCCCCCAAAACCCTGCTACTCAGGGAAAACCCCCACTGCTCCTTCATATGTGTACAAGGACACCTTTGGAGCTATACTCACCATAAGGAATTAGCAGAGATGTTCCTGTGCAGACAGAGCTGCAGAAGAGCCCCCACGCGGTGCTGATCCCCCTCAGGGTTTATAAGAGAAGTGTAGGTTACTATGGCTCTGCTTTCCACTCCAGTGAGGAGCTGGCAGCCACAAATCTCCCACTAAATTGGGCACCAGTATTTCAACTTCAGTGGTTCTCTAAGTTGCAGAACCAGGATTACAACCCTGTCAAGTTTGCTTCCTGGCCACGTCTGTCTCCTGGCTACGTTCACCTCTTGGCCACGTCCGCCTCCTGGCCATGTCTACTGCCAAGCATCAGACTTTCACCCACTGTACCGTATTTGAGAGGAGCCTGGAGACACATAGGGAGCTGGTTACCCTTGACATCCTCATCCCTCATCCCTACATGCAATCTAGCCTTGTTGCCAGCCTGGTTCCTCTAAACTGGGCATCTTTTGGGTTTCTTTGGGAGAAGCCATGCCCTCACTTCCCAGGGGACCTTCTTCTCTCTGGATGAGACTCTCGCTGCTCCATATCTTTACAAACAAATCAGTGGAGATTAGTGTTTTCTTTCCTTTTCCCAGCAATGTTCTTGGGTTTTTGTTTTTTTGTTTTTTTGTATATACATTTTTCCTTGACACTTTTAATAAGCGTTTGAGAGAAGACAGAGTTGGACCAGATGTTCTTGACCTATTATTACAAATGTTAATAGTCTCTCTAACTCAGCACAAGGCATGGGCAATGTTCTCCTCTCTCCCCCAAGAAGCAGCTCCTATATGAACTCACCCTAGGTGAGCTTGTGGGTTTGAGGGAGTAGAAGCTGCCTGCAGCCATTTTAAACCCTTTTACAGCTACTTCTCCCAAATCTAACCCAAGATTCCAGCTCTGAGGTTCTGAGTTGCCAAATTTCTCCATGTGCAATTTTTAGACTCATCTAGAATTCTCTAGAGTTTTCTTTAATTTGTAGAGGAAGAAACAGAGACTCAATAAAATGAAAAGCGACAGCAAGTGATGAAGATTGACACTGTCCCTCAGTGCTGACCATCTTGCTCCTGCAAGCCTTAGTCTGAATGGGGAAATAAGTCTATGAACAAAGACTATTTTTCTGGCTATATAAATACAAAGAAATAGTGGAATAGGTAACTTGTAACAGCAGAGAGGAATAAACAGGCTGATACCTACAGCTAAAGACCAGTAGTTGATAGCCAGCTAGTTTGCAAATTAAAATACTCAAATGTGGGGCCTAGTCTGCGTGCCTGTAATCCCAGCACTTGGGAGGCAGAGGCAGGAGGATAGCTGCAGGTTCCAGGCCAGCCTGGTCTACATGGTGAGCTCCAGGCTGAGACCTTGTTTCTAAAAAGAAAACCAAAATAAGACAAACAGCAACAAATCATACTCGAGGATGTTGGTGTGTGTTCTCTGTGTTCTGCTGAAATCCCCCATCTGGTGGGAGTTGGTGGGAGTTCTCCCTGGAGTCCGCTCTCTTCACACAGCTAATCTGGCACTGGAAACAGAAAACACCTGCAGAGTAACCAGAGCCTCCTCCCCAATGCCATGCACACCATCTTGTCTTGTGACGGTCATTGGGGTTGCCGGGAGGGGCACCCACAGAGAAGGGTGAAGGAAAGCTGAGTAAACACCATGCTGCTCTTGTCCTTCCAGAAAAGCCTGAGGATGACACCGCGGATTTTCTCTCTCTTACACTTCCTGTGACCTGTGGTGAGGCCAAGGGGATTCTCTACAAGGAGAAAATGAAAGCAGGTGAGTTCCTGGCCTTCTGCTCTTCGTGTCCCTGGATGAAGGCCAGGCTAGAAGGGAAGAGACAGCACTCCCTGTGTGTAGTTGACCAGGAAATGGACCCTGCTAGCCAGGCTGCAGGCCAAGGGTACTTCCCATGAAGGAATTTCCAGACCTTTCCACATCATGGTGTACCTGGAAGCCAGATCTCTCCACCCCACATGAGTCACCCATGAGCACTGAGATGCCAACTCCATGTCCTAGTTACATGTAGTGTCACAGACAATGTGAATTCTGCTCCACTCCCTCAGCAGCGTGCGGGCGTCAGGGTTCCTTTAAGGTAGAGGAAGAACTAGATTCCCCTGCTTCTGCCCCCACTCCTGAGGAAGGTGGAGAGCCACAATGTGGGGCTCAGAGGACGGAGGTGAGTTCACAGAAGGTCCAGGTGGATCTCTGAAGGCCCATCTTTTCCTTACAGGATCCTCAGAGAAATGCATTCGGAATGAGCAGGGGGCTTGGTTGACTCCAAAGGAATTTTTAGTGGAAGGCAAAAGGGCGAAGTCCAAAGACTGGAAGCGGAGTATGCACTGTGGAGGGAAGACCTTAAGACACCTGCAGGAGGTACTACGGTGACCGAGGGTGCTGGGTTCAGATCCTGGAAGGGTGCGTGGAATTTCAGTAGCGAAACTGTGGACAAGTTCCCATTATGACTCAGCAGCAAGATTTACAAAGAACCAAATGTTTGAACAGAAAAAGTTGTAGGTGAGGAAGTTAGAAAAGCAGATTGGTGTGGGTGGTGAAGACCTTCAGTACAAGTGAAATATCTGAGAAGTTTAAACACAGACCGGGGTTTGGAGATGGGGAGCCCAGTGGTTTGAGTATGGTAGATGGGAAAGGCTCCAGCTGATGGCAGAGATGCCTGCCAAGACTTCCCTGTATCTCCAGCCTGCTAAACTCTTACTGAAGGCCCAGCTCATCTGGACCCTGTGAAGCATTTTAGCCACCCTGACTGTGGTAGTCTCCCCTCTGTGCCTCTGTGCTACTCTGTTTCTAACCTGTGACATCCACAGAGGGAATGCATCCTTGTGATCCCAGGATGAAGGTTTCAAGTGACACTCACAATATTATCACCTAGGGGCTGGTGAGATGGTTCAGCCTGTAAAGGTGCTTGCTGCACAAGCCTGGGGGCCTGAGTTCAACCCTCAGAAAGCATGAAAAGGTAGGAGAGAACTGACTCCACAAAGTGGTCCTCTGACCTCTACAGGTGCACTATGGCACATGTTTACCCTTATGCCCCAATAATAATAAGTAAATGAAATGAATTTTAAAATACTGAAAAATGTTGTCGCAGGGATGGAAGTGTAAGGGTTTTGCCTAGAGGAGAAGAATGGAGAAAGAAAGGAAGGTGTGAGGAAGGGAGGGATTAAGGAAGAACTAGGGTCTTGGGTTTAAGCAGCAGGGGAAAACTTTTATGACTAAGGGAAAATAAAAGAACCAATTAGTGAAGGGACCTCAGTTTTCCCACACACACTGTGGGTTTCACATCTAGTCTGATGTCCAGATACAGGTATTTCCTAAAAGGGGGGAATGTCAATATTAACCAAAGAAGAGATTCCTGAATAATCTCATCTATTGACCTCTTCTCTTTCAGAAAGGACTTTTGTTCTGTCCTCCAATGGTGAATTTCAAGAGATAGGTGACAAGCAGGTGGATTCCTGCCACGTTCTCAGTGGCTGTGTCCTAGGATCTCCGTGTCTGAGGCTTGCCTTCCAGCTCTAAGTGTCCCAGCTCTGAGAACCTTCAGATTTGTGCAAGGAGACTCTGTCACCACCACTCCAGCACACTGACACAGGCACACACTACGTGCTACCTTTGTTCACAGTTACTTTGGGAAAGTAAATGACTCTTTAAAATGAAAGCTGTTGACATCTGTATGTTTTAGAAAAAGATTGGGGTAGTATTAGGATGCAAACAAGTAGAAGCAAATAAACCTTTTCTTCCCCAAATTCCTTTGGGTCAGAGCAAGGTCTCCCCTAAATAGTTTTTCTATTTTCTCTTATCAAAACAACAGAAAAAGTGACTAGAACAGGTTCCATCCATCAAGCAAGGAAAGCAGAGTTGAGAATGGCATGGCCACACAGCTGGGATGCCTCTGAAATCTGAGGACTCACACCTTGGCCTCATCTGGTGACTCCATCCACAGGTACCACATGGCAAGGCAGAGTTTCAGCTCAGGTGTCTCACTGTCCTTTTTTCTGAAATCAGGATTTTGCTGTGCATCATGGGCGGGCCTCAAACTCACATCAGTCTTCATCCCAAGCCTCCCAACGTTTGGAATTCCAGGCCTGAGCCACCACACCTGGCTTCTCTCCTTCTTCCACAGGTCCAGTCCTAACAGATGAGGACGGAACTTTGTAGTTTCATTATCCTTTGTCATCTCCCCAAAGTTCTACCTTCAAATACTGCTAATGGATTAAATGTCTACTTCCCTACTACCTTAAGATCAGGATTCAGTTTCAACATAGGTGTTGGGGAAATATTAAAACCATAGCAATCCCTATGAATATAAACCTGTATTTTGTTTTAAAAGAACACTCAGTAGGTATACCAGTTTATATAACAAATGACATTGGGAGACCTTTGCCTTAAAATTTGAATGAATCCAGCCAAGGGTCGGGCCAGTCTCCCAGGCAACAAGGAGATACATCATCATCTCTTCTGTGGGCTCACATCTTATGGGAGTGGGACCAAGCCCAGAGAACACGTCTAAGAGGTGAGGAAGGCTGAGGAGTTAGTGCGGCTGACAGGTGACAGCCATCTTACCCCGACGGAGGCTCTGCGGGCAAAGAGCAGATGGAACACCGCATTCCTCGAAGAAATGACTGTGGAGCACCGAGCGGTACTTTGTGTCCAGTAGGATGATCCTGCGCCATCACATATTCTCCTAGCCTTTCCATATCTGCTTCTCCCACTAAAGGCTCCCATCCCTCACACCTTAACTTGTACTCATTACATACGGCTTCACGCATCTTATCTCGGGAGGCGCCTCAAAACAGGACCCGCCCCCGAGCCCCAGCCAATAGGCTACAGGTCCCCACTCTGCTGGTGGAGCCCTTCCGACTCCCCTGTGCTCGCCTCCCGACCCCAGGTGTTACCTTTCTTGCTTGTTCTCCTGGTCCTTCCCTTCTTTTTCTTTTCTTCATTTAGTTTTTTTTTCCTCTTCCAACGACGGCGTTACATTCAGTTCTTATTGAATCTGAAAGCTGGTTACATGCTAAATGTTTACAAAACTACAAATCATTAAAGTTAAAGGAACAAACCATACAGTAATCAAACACACAGAAGACACCAGGCTGAGTCAACGAAGCTGCAGGTCCCACTGAGGCCGGCACTGAGGATGCATTAGCTACATTTGTTCCTCTGTCACAAGTTGAAGTCAGGGCTGGAGAGATGGTTCTGTGGTAAAAATGCCTTCTGCTAGAACTGATGACCTGAGTTTGGTCCTTACATGCCACATGGTTGAAGGAGAGAAGCAACTCCCACTTAAGTGCTGTGACATGTACCTGTACATGTGCATGCAGACACACATGCAAACAAAATAAATGACTGAAAAAAAAAGTTGAAGTCAGAGAGAAGACCAGTCTTGCTTAGGGCCACAGATTTCAAACTTAGTTGTGGCAAAATAGGGTCACTTAGAACTTCTACTTGTTAAAAATATCAATTTCTTTGCCCAGGATGTAGCCTAATTGGTAGAGTGCTTCCCTAACATATATGAAGTCTTGGGGTTTGATCTCTAGCACTGCATAGACCATGGTTGTATGTGCCTATAATCCCAGGACTGAGGAGCTAGAGGCAAGAAGATTAGAAGTTCAAGGTCATTCTTGGCTATGTAGTAAATTTGAGATGAGCATGGATTATAATGACACCCTCTTGGGGAAAACAAAAACAAGTTACAAAATACCAATTCCTGTGCATGGTCTGTAGGGAGTGTCATCCAGAACTGGGGACTCAGAATCTGCTCTCTAAGGGGCTCCCTGGCCAGCTCATTCTGCAGGAGTGCTCCATAGACAATTTGATCGACAGGAATCCATCAGACATCCAGCCATCTCACAGGCCCACTCCTGAAACACTGCCTGGCCAGACTTGCTTTATTGTTTCAAAGGCCCCCTGTAGTGTGTGGTTTCTCTGCCCATCCCTGTCTTTCAGCCTCGCCAACATCAGGTCACCGGAAGCATTCGTGCTTGTACCGGGGAGGGTCTAGAGTCCAGGTCTGAGCCAGCTGTCGGCCATCTAGGCTGGGCCTCCCTCATCCCAGTCTGACGGATGAGAAGCTAGACAGACTGCACAGGCCTCCTCCAGCCACATCACAGCCTTCACCTCAGTGGTTTCATTACACCTGTGAGATTTTAAGCTTGGGGCCAAGAGCAGAAGGGCCTTTTGACACAGTGAGGAACCCTCCCAAGTGTGTGCCCAGGGACAGCTGTTGGCTATTGTTCTTTGCCAGTCTAATCTGAGGATGACCTTGCCCGGTGTTCTTGGTTGGTCTCCTGTTCTGGATGCTTAATGACAGAGCCATTGAGAGCATCTCTGCCCCTTTTAAAGGTTCACTTTTCCTGGCTTACTGCAGGATTTGGATACCCAGCTCCTCCTATTGTCTGGGGGATCCACAGTGCCCTCTAGTGGTGGGGAAGTGCTGGACAGTAGTCTGATGTCCTGGGATTGACTGTCACAGGCAGGAAGTGCTGAAAGTTGCATCTGCCTCCTGTTCAAACTGGAAGGAGAGGCAGTTTATACATCTATTGATCTTCTTGTAGAATAAAAAGAAAAGGCGTTGACTGGCTTTTGTGCCTCAACAAGAAAGGCCTAGTTGCAGAAAGTAAGTCACCAAGGGCCTGTCTTTCGGAACTGTCTCTTGTCCTGGCCACTTCCTGCACCTTTTCTCTGCCTCCTGTGTACCTTGTGAACTGCTCTATCTACTCTGCCATTCTCAGGATGGACTGCCACCTCGACACTGAGAGCTAAAATGAAATTTTCCTCTCTTAAGTGGCTCTCATGGGTGTTTTGGTCACAACGGGGCAAAAGCAACCGACACACAGGCATCCTCTTAAGGGTTATTGAACATGAAATACATGACAAGCAGGCACGCCTCACCTATTTCACAGGAACTGTCAGTTTGTCTGAATGCTCCATACTTATAACGTTCGTAATGCCCATAAAACATTCCACAGTGGGCATGGTCGCTCTGACACAATGCACAGTGTTAGAATAAAATTAAGTCTTTGGCGCTTAAATGAACTTTACAAAATGGTAAACCACAGACTTTCTTCTTTGTTAATACAGTACAGCTCAATATAAATTTTTGAAGGCCCTTCAAGGACTGAAAGTCATTATATAAGGTCTGTTTAGAGAAGAGGTAATTATCTCCACTTATCAGACCAATTTGGTCCATTCTTAAACTTCGAAAGGTTGAATGATGGCTCACCCATTAATGCCCACACTTCACATATTTGAAGTGATTCATTCCATCCCCACGGCAGCTGGTGTAGACATGACAATGCATTTTGTTCTGTGACTAGTCCTGTGGCATCTCAGTGCAGTTTGCTTTCACTGCCCAAGGACACCATGCAGCTTCGCTTGGCTTTCATGGTGTGCCTCAACAGCCCTGTTGTCATACCCAGTCATGGCACAGATGCCTTGAAATGCATCTGACGTTCTTCAGAAGCGCATGTATGACATCACATTGATGACATTTCTGCAGATCCAATGACACACTTAGAACCTATACTTACTCATAAGGATCTCACAGAAAGTGTGGGACACTGCTCTGCATATCGCATAAGAAGTCCTTGTAGTAAACTTTTGGGCATGATCTGGTCAGTTGAGAGTGCTCCATTCCTGACCCTGCCAGGAAATGATTATTGGCCATCTAAGCACAGGAGTTACAATAAACCTCCAGCATCTTTTATGTTTTTTTGTTTTGTTTTGTTTTTTGTTTTGTGACAGGGTCTCTCTATGTATCCCGAAGTCCTTGTAGTAAACTTTTGGGCATGATCTGGTCAGTTGAGAGTGCTCCATTCCTGACCCTGCCAGGAAATGATTATTGGCCATCTAAGCACAGGAGTTACAATAAACCTCCAGCATCTTTTATGTTTTTTTGTTTTGTTTTGTTTTTTGTTTTGTGACAGGGTCTCTCTATGTATCCCAGGTTGGCCTTTTTCCCCTCCCTTTGGTCTTTTTGAGACAGGGTCTCCCTGTGCCCCAGCTGGCCTGTTACTTGCTATGTAGACCATGCTGGCCTTGAACTCACAGAGAGCCACCTGTCTCTGCCTCCCAAGTACTGGGATTAAAGGCATGTGCTACCACACCCAGCTGCTTTGTGTCTTTAAAATATATATATTTTATTTCCCTTTCCAACTTGGGCCTGGTGGAATGGCTCCTGCAAAGGGTGGTGAGAAGATGGGTTGTTCTGCCATCAATGAGGTGGTGACCTGAGAATACACTATCAACATTCACAAGCGCATCCATGGAGTAGGCTTTAATAAATGTGCCCCTCAGGCACTCAAATCCAGAAATTCACCATGAAGGAGATGGGAACTCCAGATGTGCACATTAATACTAGGCTCAACAAAGCTGTCTGGGCCAAAGGAATAAGGAATGTTCCATATCTTATCCGTGTTCGTTTGTCCAGAAAACATAATGAGGATGAGGATTTGCCAAACAAGCTGTATACCTTGGTAGCCTATGTCACTGCTACCACATTCAAAACTCTACAGTCAATGTGGATGAGAACTAACCACTGATGCTGAGTCAAAGTTATAAACTGCTAAGATATTTTATTTTTATTTTATGTGTATGAGTGTATTGCCTGCATGTGTGTAAGTGCACCCGTGTT